GTTTTAGAAGAATGATCCATAATGATTTGAACATTGAGCCTAGGTCAAAGTTGATGAAGACTCATTAGAGGATTGATAGAATCAAAGCCTCCTAACAACGAGCTTTCAAGGTTATTGGCCATAGCTCAATATATAGTAATATTTGGGCTTACAAACATAAGGTTTGAACCACTAAGAATCAGTCAAATAAAAGATGAAAAAGGAAGGATTCCAAGTGATATGATCCATGATGGTTTGAGCCTTGATCATATGTTAAAGTTAATGAAAACTCATTAGAGAATTGATAAAATCAAAGTGTCTACAAAATGAGTCATCAAGGTTATTGGTCATAGCTCAACACTTAACCATACTTGGGCTTGCAAACATCAAGTTTGGACCACTAAGAATCAATCAATAGGAAAGAAGAAATGGGATGAGATGAAGAGGAAAAGGGAAAATCACAGTGTAATCAGTGCCTCAGATGAATTTAGGGTTTCAAATATCATCAACATCATTCATCAATTTTGGTGGATTTGGTTTTTAACCTATCAACACCCAAGATCTAATGAGATTGATGAATTTGTCCCAAAGTATCACTCAAGTGTCTCCAAGTCAGAACCAATAACAAAATGGTAAAATATAATTTAAAATTAATGTGGACAAAATAATTAAATGGTTAGTTAAATACAAAAAGATGAGAAAAATAACAAATTTTTATCAAAACATCAAATAAAAATCTCATAAAAATACCAGAGGTCAAACATGAGTCAACAAGCGCTTACAATTTTTTTTAGAATTTTTAAAAGTTAGAAACTATCTAAAAAAGTATAACAATTAATCAAAATGAAACAAAAATCACAAAAAAAGTAAATCAGAAATAAAAATTAAACAAGGTTACCAATATTTGTCAAAATATCATTGGATCCTTCCATAAAATTTTCAGAATTTTAAAAAGTCAAAAAGTATTTTTAAAACAATTAAAACAAGACAAATAAAGAGAAAAAACATAAAAAAATATCAAATCATAAAATAAAATTATGAAAAAATAAGAACCAGAAAGATAATATTTAAATATATTCTAGAGATTGTTTTCATAATTTTCAAGTCATAAGTGAATTTTTTATGAATTTTTGAAGTTTAAAACAAATAAAATAAAAATTAGAAGATAAAATAATAAACTAGAAAAATCTGGACCATTTGATCATTGTCAAAATGTATTAGTAAGAATATCTGAGGGACCTGACGCGTTGTGCATGTTATGGTCTTTATTGAAAAAAACACAAGATCATTAATAAAATCATATTTTATAAAATAAATAAAAATATGGGTCATCTGATCAAAGTCAAAACACGTTAGTAAACAGATCCAAAGGACCTGGCGTGATGTGCTTGATATGGACTCTAGAAAGAAACACACAAAGTTTATAATAAATGAGTCAATCAAAATATAACAAATGTCAAAGGATCATTGGTTGAAGCATGACACGTAGGTCGTCTTCAACCTCCAGACACCTGTGTGTGGGGTTTGTATGAGATTATTCAAACGAAAACGTCAGAAGCTCATAGTGGTATCATTAGATTCGTCTCTTCCAAATGATCCAAACCCTACCCTCGCGAAAAATTTATATAAAACACAACATAGTCAATTTTAGAAAAACCAAAATAGAATTGAAAAAAATGATTTTATAAACAATTGCTCGATTCTCAACAAAAAATGAAAACCAAAAGAAATATGAGAATCAGAAGAAAAAGGAATACATATTAGTAACTTGTTTGGATTGATTTGGTTAATAATTCTACCTGAACAAAGCTAAAAAATGGCTATGAAAATGAACTTCTGTAACTCTAAATATGGTTCGATTTGTTTGGTTTAGGTGAAGAAGAGTTTGTATAATTATGGAGAATGATGAATCAGAAAAGAATTTGAGGTGAGAAGGCTTGAAATTATGAAATGAATTTTCAAATTACCAAGCTTCAAGTGAAGTTTGGCAGATTGATTGGGGCTCTCCAAAGCTTGTAAAGTTAATGGAGAATGGTCTTCTATTTATAGGAGAGTTAATGGTGATGAGAACTGGAAGAAATAGTAAGGTTTGGAGGGAAATTGTGTGGAGCCCGGAAATGAGAAAAGTGTGACTCTAACAACCTAAAACTCATCTAAACCCTATGTTTCAAGGCTCTAACAATGCTTAGCAAGTTTATTAAACCTGTTTAGATAAAAAATGCACAACAATCTTGTGTTTATAATCCACATTATGGATTTTATAATTCTAACTTGGTGAGAATTTCTGTTTCAAGGTACCCTCTTTGAACTCGTGGTGCACACAACTCAGGAGACTTTATAGGATGATTCTTGAAGCATTTGAAAGCCAGTGTCACAAACTTTACAATGTGCCAAGAAAGACTCCATTTGGTTAACTGAGCACAAAGTTACACCCATTTGAAATCATTAATAATAATCTGATTTTTGTATTTAGAAATATTTCTAAGTGTTGAGCTTCAAAATAATCTCTAATCTCTTGCAAACTTACAAGCCCTTCCACTCCAAATTTGATCTTGATCATTGGAGATGAAATGAAGTAGACTCTTCAAATTGAATTGTGGAATTGTGATCATTCAAAAATCATAAAAATTGAAAGAGTTATGGACTTTGGAAGATGATGAACAAATTTGGAGAAATCCACAAATGACCTATAATCTTTTCAATTCTTTAAAGACTTTCCATATATTTTCAAGCCTTGCACCTTGAAACAAAATTGTAGTAGACATCCTCAAGTTTATTATGAAAAAATAATGAGCTCAAGGAAATAAAATATGACTAAGTTATGATCCTTTGAAGTTACACAAGAGAGTTTGATAGCCTTTTCAAAGGACTTGTAATCTTCTTCAACCATTAGTGATCTTCCATTCAAAATTAGCCTTAGATCATTGATGAGAAGTTATTAAGGACCCTTCAAAGAGAATCATGGTTTTGGAATCAACCTAAAATATCAAAAAAATGAGCAAGATATGGTCTTTGGAAGTCAACCAACCCTTACTCAGAGAGTGCCAAAATGACTTGTAACCCCTTTCAACTTTTGAAGACTTTCAATGCACAAATGGATCTTGACATGTAAAAAGAAGTTATTGTATATGATAATAAGAATCCATAGAAAAAAGGACCTGCTCCAAATGTTGAAAATTGAGAGAATTACGCGCTTGTGATCAATGAATCAAGCACTTGTTCAATTAGGTCAAACTTGTTAAATCAACCTTGAATCTTTTGAACTTTATTTGCAAAATAAAGCATGATGGATTCCATTATACATTGAAATGATGTTATCTTGAAGCAAACTCAAATATGGAGCTTAAGTCTCAATGAAACTTGTTGAAGAAGGCATGGAAATAAACACATGAACATGTGAATCTTCTTGATGAATGCCATTCTCTTGGAAGAAAGCTTGACCTAAATGAAATTGAGGGTTCTTTAAACCAAATAATTGTGATATCATCAACATATACTTGAATCTCAAACTCTTGGACTTCATTGAATAACCATTTGGTTGAGGACTATCCCTCAAAACCCTAGGTTAGATGGTGAGATGGATACAATTGTGTCATCACCTACAAAATGAACATTCAAAGAAACATATATACATATTCTTATGTTATTTAAAAGAACACGTGTACAAGATACATAAATCAAGGTGCTTGGTGATACCTCAAGATCAAACTTAAAGATATGATTAAGTATAAGGGAGAACCAACCCCAATGTTTGATCTTGATGTATGATAATATGAGATGATAAGAGATCTTAGGGGCGAAAATTAGGGTATAACAATTCTTCATTGATTGATCAGGAAGCTCGAAAAAAGAATTATGCTCTTTGATATACCACAATTTTTTCCCCTAAGATCCCTTGTCATTTCATATGCATCTCATGCATATCATCGATTCCATGATTACAGGATCAAAAGGCTCTTGACGTTAGGGTTTTTCCCTATAAATTGAGGTTGCTACCTTACTTAGAGTTGATTCAACTGGTTCTCTCATTATTCTTGGCATGAAACTAGGGTTTTGGATCACAAGCATCATCGACGTCTTCACTGGAAGGGTTCCTCGAGATATAAGGTTTGTCTTCATCGAAATTTCTCAAAGAACCAGTGCATTAAGGTTTAACTTGTGCTCTTAAGATTTAATCATGACTTTATCGAGGGTGTTCTTGAGTTAAAATTTTGTTATTTTAACCATCTCAATCTTTCTTCATCGATGTGCACTCAGAGCCAAAGAATTAGGGTTATCCTATGATGTGCCTAAGCATGGGTATAGGTTATTCAACAATGTTTCATTGTGCTAGGTTTCCTCCTAAATGCTACAAGGATCATCATTCTTTCCTCAATATGAGTTCATCATCAATTAGGGTTTATCCTAATCGTTGTATCTCAAGACATTACTTTCAAAAAGTTCAGAGGATTTAGTTAAGGACTTATTTCTTGTAATGTTACTTGTTAAAGGGTTAAGGATTAGTTTAAGTTTTCATTAAGTCAAGATGTTTCTTGTTGCTTAATATTTGAATAAGTATCTCATCAACCTTTCAAATAGAATTTGTCTAGCTTCTTGAATTTGAAATTCAACTGAAGATGAGTTTAATTGGTCGAACATGACACAAAAGGTGTGTTTGAGAATTCTTTATTATCAAGGCATGCCTCATGGTTTTGCAAGTATTCACTCAAAATCTTAATGTACAAAGTGTTGTATGGATTACTCGATTGCAAGTTCAAATGGGTTCAATTTCAACTGTCAAGAACATTGTTCAGCTTTTTCAAAGTCGTACTCATCATCCATTATTCAAGTTCAAAGGTGCATTTATTCAATACCATTCATTAATTTCCAGTCCTTTTATTGAAGGTCATCCAAGTATGTTTCAAGACCAATTTTCAAATTAAAGGCATAAGTTTAACTTCAAAGCTCAAGGTTTAATGTCATCATTCAACAATGTCCATTCTTGTTTAGCCTCTGTGTTATATTCATGTCACCAAAGTAGTATGCCAAAGTTTGGTCGTTATGTGCTTCTAGTGAATGTTGCTAAAACACATACACAAATTGTCCAAATTCAACATCATTTATTCAAGTTTCACAAGTCCATATACAATGACATTCAAATTGCAAGCCAAATTTCATTACCAAACAAAAGATCCATAGCACAATTACTAAATACAATTGTTGCTTTCCCATTACATCAAGAAAATTACAAGAAAAAAACATGTCGCCTCTGCAGGTTAAAAGAGATATTAATACTTGCTAAATGATGTTTCAATTGGGATAAGATTCTGAAGGGATTGTTGAATTCAAATCTAATTGGTCTTCATACATTTGATTATGCTCACCACTTTCTTGCATGTTGTAGTAGAATGCTAGGTCTGGACTATGAATCTAAGCGAGGGCATATAGGACTTGATTACTTTGGCTGCCTCAACAAACTAAAAGTATAACATCGAGGTTGAAATAATTAAAACGGAGAAGACAAGCTGTAACACACAAAACAGAAAAATGCAAGGTGGTGCTCAAAACAGAAAACCATCTGTATGAAAACCCATATCGGAAACAGTTCATTGAAAAAAAAAAAGATTAATAAAACAGTTCAGGAAAAACCAATTCACACTTCAGCCCTGTATATCAGAAAGCTAACAGTCATGTGAGATCACTTGCACAATTCAGAAAAATGCTAGAAAAAGTTAGAAGAAGATACGAAAAGCTCAATATACTAGTTCAACCAAAAAGTCAGGAAAATAAGAATAACAACCTAGCCTAACAGAATATAAAAAAAAACCTCACAACCCCTAACCAATTCACTAACCAACTAACAGATTCCTAACTGTTTTTCTAACAGAATTTTCTAACTTCATAACTGAATCTCAAACAAACTTTTTGGAAACTATATAACAGAATGATAACAGAATTGAGAAGGAGAGGATTCATGATCGAGAAGATAACAGAAAATTTCAAAGAATCACCTTTCAACTCTCTCTTTGCAATTCCTTACCATTCTTCCTCAACCTTGAATCACCGAATCTCTTCTCCTCTTAGACTCCTTCCGCACCTTCTTTCAATCTTCATCCTCAACATCACCTTCATCTTCGAGTTCCTCTAGACTACAAGCTTCACAGACTTTTCAATCGTCATCTTCACTTCTCATTAATGCATATTCACCGTTCTCATTCTTATTTATTCATCATCAATAACCTTTCAAGAATAGCGCAACAACAACAAATCTCAGTAAAGTATTCGACGCACAAGAGATTGCATTCATAACAGAAGAAGAAGAACGAAAAGAGAAAAAGAAGACCAATTATTACCTCATCTATGGTTTTCTAAATATCTTTGCTTCAAATCCAGGTTCTATATTTTTCCTCTTCTTTTCACAATTCGTATTTGTTTGAGCGTAGTGTCTGTTTTCTTCTGGCATTCGTACTTGTGAATCCGGTTATCCAAACGTCAAAATCGGAGGTAAGCGCGACGGTGCAAATCAAAGGCGATGATGAGCGATGAGGTTGAATCGACGGTTAACGAAAACTCGAATCGAAGCGCTTCACTGAGTTAAACACAATCACGAACGAAAGCGAAACCGTGACTGATGCTGAGTTAAGAGTGCATGAAGTTGCGTCGTTGGTGGTGGGGGAAATCGTGCCGCTTTGAAAAGCTTGAGCCGCGATGATTGAAGCTTGAGACGTAGAAGAACTTTTTCATCAGAGATAGGAAAAGGCAGCGCCGTTCGTAAGAATGGAATAAGGTGAAAGCGTTGTAGATCAGGGAAAAATTGAAGAAGTAGAGTGTGTGTGCGGAGGAGTTATCCATGATGATGAAGGTGCTATAGTGAAGTCATCGGAGAAGGTGGATTTGGAGGTAGCAGCGGCACTTCAAGCTTGAAGAAGATGGATTTTGTGGTTTACAAATAAGTTGGAAGGTCACAAGTATTTTAACCCTATCCTCTGAAGCCAAACGACATCATTCATCCTTTTCTTTAAAATTGTTTTTCTCATTTTATTTCTTTTATTTGGGAAATTGAAAACAAAAATCTAATTAGAACTTTGGACTAGTGCTAGACTGCTTGAGTTTGTTTGGGCCTTGCGTTATTCGCACCATTCCCTTGGCACATAGCATTTTTTTTGTGATTTGGTTGCTTGTGAAAAAAAACTCTTCATGGACTTACTTCTGGCTGGGCCTAACGCTTGTTCTATTCATAGGCCCTGATCCAGTTTAGCACCTCCTTGACGCTTTCTAATTTCTTTAGTTTTAGATTTTGTTTTTAGTTTAATTTTTTTTAATAATAAAAATAGTAATTGAATACATGATAAAAACAATAAAAAATATGTAGAATTTAGGACTTCCTCTTAATTTTTTTATAATAAAAAAACTACAAAATCAATAAAATTTGTTAGCTTTTTTATTTTTGTTTTAGGAATTAATTCATGATTATCCAATAACTTGAGGTTTGTGATTCACTTTTTGCTTGTCGAGATTTGAGTCTTATGCAGGTTCATTCTTGATATGCGGATATGCTTGAGTTTCCTATTGTGATTTATTTTCACATCGATGATGCTTCAACGTTTATTCTGAGTATTTGATTTCTGACTCTTTTCTCTGTTGGTTTATGCCAGCTCATGCGAAGTATTATAGATTTCTTTGCTTTGGTTTCACTTTTTGCGGACACTATTATTCGTTTGGTATCATATTGCTTCTAATTTGTCTTTCCGTGTTTTATTTCTTTATAGGTATCATGAGTAGTAGAAATAAAGAGTGTGCGCTCGAAGTCGCTGTTTAAAGACCTGTGGCAGGCATTCCGCACTTGATTTCTAACTGTGTTTGTGTTTGTTTTCATGGGTTGATGATAGATGATGTCACTCAATTAGAATTGAGATAACGACTTCGATATTTTGCGTGCTCCCCTTAGGATTTTTATTTTCCTTTGTTGATGATCGATGATGTCACTCAATTAGAATTGAGATAAAGACTTTAATCTTTTGCATGCTCCCCTTAGGATTTACATTTTCCTTTGTTGATGATCGATGATGTCACTCAATTAGAACTTAGATAACAACTTCGATCTTTTGCATGCTCCCCTTAGGATTTTTACTTTACTTTTTGGACGACCGATGATGACACTCAATTAGAATTGAGATAACGATTTCGATCTTTGCATGTTCCCTTAGGGTTGCTCGATTAAGATAGCTTTCGAGCTAGACATTAGGATAGTTATCCATGCATGCTAACATAAGGTATATTTTTCCCATTTCATCCTCGATGTAGGGCCATCATTGTATGATAACACTAGGTTAGAGATATGTCAGTCTCCCTTAGATGTTTTCTTCCCATTTTTCATAATTGCATTTAAAACTAAAACTTATTTTTCTTGGAAAATGAATAAAACATGATAAACATATAAAAATTCTTTTCATGGTAAAAAACACCAACCAATTCATTTCTTTTTGCCATTCGGCTTTTCTCTTCTAAGAACGTGTTGATTCCTTTCCACTACAGTGCTTGAGTCTCCAATGGCCGAGCAGCAGTGTAATGACTGATTTTAACATTGTTCATCTAAAAAATACAAATAAACAGAAACATGTGAGCCGAACTACAACACACTGATTGCTTAAAAGGGATACAGGGCTCAGCCGGGCGAAAATTTGTAAATATTTCCTTCTTTTCCACGTGTTTTCTTTGCATGCATTCCCTCTTAATTTTATAGCTCTTAAGCATTAGATTGAACATACCCTTTGATTAGAACAACAAGAGTGTATCCGTAGAGTACTATGGACGTGAGGGGTGCTAATACCTTTCCCTCGCGTAATCGACTCCCGTATCTGATCTCTCGGTCGCAAGACCTTGATTTCTCCCCCTTTAGGTTTTTCTTCAATGATTTTCCTTTCCCTTTTTATGGGATAAATAAAAACTCGATGGCTACTTCATTGATTTTACTGCTAAACTCCTCCACAACGCCATTGTTCATGATATAATAACACATAAGTTTGTGCCTAGCCATTTCGGCCTCATCCACTTCTCCAGAATCCTCCACTTCCATCACCTGATCATATTTACATATTTTGATGTTAGTTAAAATTTAACCAACATAAGATGCACATGTATAAGATACACAATTCAAGGTGTTTGGTGATCCCTCAAGAGCAAACTTAAAGATATGAGGAAATAGAAGAGAGAACCAACCTTAATGTATGATCTTGATGTATTGTGATGCTATGAGATGATGAGAGATCTAAGGGAAAATTGGGATATAACAGTTATGTAGAGTGTGTATAGTGAGGTAGGGTAGTAATCATGGTCAGAAATTGGTTAGAGGGGTAAGTTTGGAAGAATTTTCAAATTAAGTGGAAGTTGCGTTTTATGTTGATTCTGTTGATGGAATGTTGCATTTTGGCTAGCAAATAAGGTTAGGAAAAACATGTGATGGTGTGTTGGCGAGGTGATCACATGGGATGGAGTTTTGAGAGAATTTTCATTTTGCCAATTTTGGCAAAAAAAATGCAATTTTGTGTGCATGCTTTATGTGCTCATTGTTTGGCCATAAGGAGTAAAGGAATAATGAGGTAGGCGTGTGAATGAGATGTAGCAGGATTTTCTGTATAAAATTTGGATTTTTGTGCACAAAATCACAAACTTGCTGCAAACTGCATTACTTGCATGTGATATGGATCAGCCATGTCCATTTCTCAATATCTCGCTCAATTCTTGACCACTTGACATGAACTTTAGCTCTTTAGAAAACTGAGGATATGAGGAACAAAGTTGATGTTGAGAGAATTGCAAATGGATCCTTGGAATTCCTTTGAAAAGGGACACAAAAATGGTACAAAAATCTGATCCCAAACACTTTGCGAAATTCTCTAAGTGTTGGAAATTTGTCATTTGAAACACCTACCTTTAATCAATCATAACTTGCTTAATAATGATTAAATCTTGATGAAATTGATATGGTTGGAAAGATTGAAGAGAGATGAACATCTTTGGTGTTGAAAAGAATTTGAATTGAAGCCTTGATCATAGAGATAATTTGCCATGAAAATTGGTACATAAAGTTCAACCAATTTTGAAAACTTGCCAAAAATAGTAACTTTCTAAAACCCTAATTTTCCAAATTAGGAAAATTTGCACAATTCTTGATTTTTGATGATTCTCTTGATTTTTTAAACATATCTCACCCATTGATCATGTTTGACTTGTAGAACACAATTTTGACAATAAAAAGTCAGGAGTCGACTTTTAGATTGTACAATTGACTTTTCCCCAATTCAATCAATCTATTGATCATCTGAATAATTGAAACTCTTCTGATTAAAATTGATGACCAATATTTAACACATAGACACTTAAGGATATATAGAAGGCCATGGAATCATGTTTTGCTCAAAGAATCATAAATAAACTGATTTAATCACAAACCCTAATTTCAACTGAGAAAGATAGGAGATGTTGTTCAGTGCTCAAACCCCTAATTCCTCTGGGAAACTTGGAGAATATTTTGAACAAAGATGCATTGTGTATAGGATGATGTTGATGCTTCAAAGTTTTTTCCCATGATTAAGTCATACACTCATACACTCATACAATAAAAACCCTAGTCTCAAGGATCAAAAGATAAGAGAATGTTGAACAACATCTAATCTCTTGCCAACTTTAATCATCTGATGAAGTGGTAGACATGTTGAGATGTATTAAGGCATGAGAATCCTTTATAACTTGAGTAATCATGAAATTGAGGATATATCTTCCTCCTTGCCTTGATTGTCAAATCTTTCTCTTCTAGTGCTTGAAGAAGACCAAAAGAGAGATACCTTGATCTCTTAACCATAAAACCAATTATATGTATGAATGCATATGATAGTAAAACACAAGCCAATTATGGTTGAAAAGAAGGGTAAATTTTGGGGTGCAACAACTGCCCCTATTTAATCATCTTAAAATTAAAGGTGAAAAATAGCGTCAGCTTTCGAACATTCAAGGTGGAAGAGGATTGAATACCAACAGAACCCAAAAATTTCCGCTCTGGAAAAGAAAAGAGGTAGATACAATGGTAACTGTATTTTTTTTTGTATTTTGAATTTTTATATAATTAAACAACCTGGGTGGGATTTCCAGGTGTTAGCAGTAAAGACATGGAAGACTAGTAAACACAAACTTTAACCGAAAACATCACGACTACCAATCAAGAGGGCTACGCCAGTGAACACTGGAAATAACCACAGAGAACTTGTGAACACTAGACTCTACTTAGGACCATCAAAATGGAACAACCTTCTAAAGACCTGAAAAAGAGTAACAAACTCGACCCTAGAGACCTAGTAAATAATATATTCAAAAGATGCCAAGGAAAATTGGATCTAAAAGGGTATACCAGTAAACACTTGTCTCGATCAAAAAGGAACAATAACCACTGACCTAACCATTAGAACATTATCAGAACGTTGGGGATCGAGCAAAGGTAACGAGTAACCACTAGACCTAAATAGTTATATAAAGAATGTGCTAGGAAAGAACTGGATTACAAAAGAGGCAACAAGTAAACACTCGACCTAAGAGGAACTAGTAAACACTAGGATCAAGAGTGCTCAACAGAATACCAATAAATAATGGATTCAAAGCAAGGTGACAAGAAAGTAAGCGGACTTCAAGAACACTTGTTGGTCTTGATCAAGGAGAACCAGTAAACATTGAATCTAACTAAGGAATAAAAGAGACAAAGAGACGAGTAGTAGACTCGACTCAAGAAGACTAGTAACCACTAGACTCTAAAGAGGAATGGGCCAGGAAAGAACTGGATCACAAACAAGGTAACCAGTAAC